ACCAAGGCTTCTGATATTTGCTTTTTCTGTGTTTAATAATATATGAATCCATTCAGGGACTCATTAATGGTGTTGACAACTCTTTTGAGATGCTTAAATCTTGAACCTCGGTGATGTATACGTTCAAGGCCTGATGCACATTATACCAAGCGATATCATACGACCCGCTTAGTTGGAAATCTTTTGTGAATTTATTGACTAAAGTATGTTATCTTCGTTTTTTAGTTTGTTTTTGTAAGTTACATATTTTTCCTTCCGAATTTGTCAGTGTTTAAATCTCTGTTTGTTATCAAAGACGATTTGGTGTTGCCTCACGCTGTAGGGTGGTGATGAGTGTGTGAGTGGGTGTTACTCACTACTCTTTCGGTCTTCATGTTCTCTATTAATTTATTTACTTTGTTTTTAATTTGTTGGAAGGGTGATAACCAGAGACAGATCCAAAATTTGAAATTTCCAGGTGCTACATCACACTGAATCCTAATAAAGTAAAAATTGGTTTGTTTTATCCATTTTGGCATTCAAGTTTCTTCTCGATCTATCTCTACATTGCTTATTGAAATGCAATAGGCAATGTAGGAATTGGCAAATGTTGCATTTACAGATTATCATGGACAACACATCATACTTTTTTCCAATGAAATAGAAGGCACTCTATTGAAGCTTTATGAATCTGTAGGTATACTGAATAGATAATATGTTTAAAACAATATTTTATCCGTCCTAGACAAGTACCTGAAAGCATTGTGATTTTTAATTTGAAGATAATTTCATATTTTTTGTGATAACACCAAAGCAGGGAATTCTCAAGGAATTTCAACTTTCTATAGAAGTCTACAATTGTCAATTTTCCCCAAAAGAAACCGCTCTCTCTTGGGAATTTCTATCTTAGTGTCAATTTGATTATTTACCATTGAAGGATAAATAAATTCCTTAACTTGCTATCATCAACTGCATTATATAGACCCAAGCCCATTTGAGATCAAATTCTCTCTCTTTGGTAGAATATTCTAGTCTCTTTAACAAAGATAAAATATCCAGTAACTATGTATGTAATTCAATTATATTTGTTTGAATGATGTATCCTGCTGTGTCATAAACATTTTGCTATTTGTATATGTCAAAATAAATATTAAATTTAACTGGTATGTGGACTCGGTCAAGACTTCTCTGATTGTCTTAATAAATACATCGTACCATTTAGTTTGTTTATCCAGAAACATGTGTTTTTTTTCCATTTGTAGAAGTGTCATAAATTAGAAATGATTTAGATATATATAATCATAAGTAAGACAAAATGTTGAATGTGCTTAAACATAGTTGGAACTCAAAGCAATATTACTTTTTTCCTTTTTCTTTTTTTTTACTTTGTATTTTTACAACGATGGTGTCTAGGCCAGCTTGCACCAACCTTAACTATTTTACAGCTACCTGTTACTCTCACAAGCACAAATATTGCGAAACTTGGTTTAGGCAGAATGAAAAGAAATACCTAGTGTTTTTCGCCTTTGAGCCAAAGTCTTCAGCCCCGTAAGTAATTAGAGATTGGACAAGTCAAATGATAGAGTGACAGATGTGGGCATAACGATAAGGGTGGTACTGAAAAGAAGGAAAATATTCTCTTGTACTAAACCAGAAAAGCCAAAAGGAACATTTAGAAAGAAAGCTTGGGCTGTGTTCGGGATTGCTATTTTTTTTTCTTTTCCTTGTGATGATAGGGCACTTTCAGTGCTTAGCTCAGGTTACCCTACTCCCTCCATCTGTCTCTCACTTCCGTCTCAAAATATTATCCACTTCCCTTAAGTAAAATATTGTTTCTTTACCTTCGTAGCATTTTGATAATTTATTGCTTTAAAGGGATAAGCGACCTCCTTATAGAATCTCAAACTTATCACTGATTGTGGGCCTACTTTCTCTTTGAAACACTAAATTTCTACTCTACTATAAAAAATTAACACTTAATATAAAGGGTTAGAGGGAAGTAATTTGTTTTTATATATGTGATTATGACTCAAAGAAAAGCCAGGAAGCTTACACAGTGGTTTTCATTGTTTGGCAGCTAAAATATACGAAAGGCAATATGTTAGTCTACTTTTTGATTCTTTAGTTTTACTTTTTGGGATGCTATTGGTAGTGGTCCTACATTGAGGATTTCATTCTGAGTGTTAGTTGACAAAATTAATTCATGACTGTAATTTTGATATTTATGGATTGATCTAAGGATATATATGTTCAGAGTTGTTTTTATTGACATTTGATTTCTTGGACCTGTTTTTCAATTATTAATGCTTAAATTTTATACCTGCCATCCTTGAAGGGAATTAGGCCTGCATCACTGGCAAAAGTAAAGGATCCAGGAGTTAAAGCATTTATAGAAAAATGTATAGCAAAAGTTTCTGAGCGTCTGTCTGCTAAGGAACTATTGATGGACCCCTTTCTCCGGTCAGATGATGATTCTGCAAGCATATCTAGATCCTTGAGTTCCCACCCCATACATGCAGGTAACTATATAATTGCAACTACACACGGATATGTTTGGAGCATGTTGACACTTCTGGGATCTTGCAGATAAGAGTGATGATGATAGTGGAAGAAGTCCTCAGGACCATGTGCCTGAAGGAAGCAGAGATTTCACAGTACAGGGCCAACGGAAGGACCTAAACACAATTTTTCTCAAACTGCGAATAACTGACTCTACAGGTTATGCCTTGTTCCTTATTTCTCCACCAAACTAAGATGATTCACTTCAGTAGCTTGACATTTTCCCTGTATCTCAGGTCATATTAGGAATATTCATTTCCCCTTTGATATTGAAGTTGATACAGCAAATGCTGTTGCTAGTGAAATGGTTGAAGAGTTGGACCTGACAGATCAAGACGTCTCTGCTATTGCTGATATGATTGATTCAGAAATCCGGTCATATATCCCAGATTGGGCACCAAAACAATGTTCTAGCAATGACATCGCAGATGAAGTTGCTCCTTCTGAGAGTAGTGAAGCTCGTGAAGTTGCTCCTTCTGAGAGCAGTACCTTTGGAGCTTGTGATGATGTTTCCCCTTCAACAATGAACTCCACTCTTTCTGGCGGTCTTATGTTGGAAAGACTTCCTTCAGGTCGTAAGTACTGGTCTGATTCACCAAAAACAACCAGTTGTGCAAGCTCTCCACTTAGACTGGGTCCTTCAAACCTGTCACGGGCAGATTCACCAATTCCTGAAAGTAGCTGGACTGAAGAAAATGGACTATCATCTATCAGCCACAAAGAGGGAAGCAGCTCAGGTGATGGTGCCTTTGAGCATGAAGAGAGTGAAACTGAAAATGATATTGATGAAGAGTCTGGTGTGATTCCGGAACCAAACTCAAGTGATAATAAGCAATCTGCTGATTTAACTTCCGAGACTGAGCCTCATTCGTCAGGGCAAAGAAAAACTCATTGCAGCAACAAATGTTCAGATGACATTGAAGATATTGTGGAGAAACTTGAGACGCTGGTACATGAGCAGCGTAAGGAGCTTGATGCGCTCAGAGAGAAACATGACTTGGTTATCTCAGATGTTATAAGCAAACTTCCTCCTGAGATACGCAATGGAGTGCTTGCTATGTGTGGTCACAAACTATCTTTCACTAGTCTACGAAACGAAAGAGGCTGCTCCAGTACAAACTCTGAAGGCCCAAGCTCCTCTTTGAAAATGTAAGTGTTACCGTCTTATTATTTACTATTGAACTGTGGATATAACTAAAGGTTGTTCTTTGATTATGCCAATCATGTTACTTTTGATTGACTGTTACTACCAATCATGTTACTTATCCTTAAAGGTTTCAAGATGTTCCAGAATGCTGAAAAACTTTAGAGTTGCTGGCAATGGTTACATGCAAAATTCAGTAGCTGGAAGTGTTTTGAATGGACCTAGTTTTAGACGCTGTTTCAGCTCTGTCAAGGAAAACATCAGTTCAGGATTGGGAATTGCCGTAATTTTGAAAGAGGAAGCGGGAGAATGATCTGTCAGTGACCGGTGCTTCGATTAGCCTTAGGTGAGTTTATTGTTGGAGAACATATTCAATTTTATGTTTGCCATGACATAGACGAAGTGATCCCTTAGTCCTTCGGAAGATCTCGTTGACCCAGCTGAAACGGATTTAATATCTCATATTCATGAATGATATGCTACGAGCTGCAGCCACAATAGGTCCTTACATTTTCGTGGAGTGTATACTTGTATATATTTACATTTGTAATTAGCAAAATATTAATTGGTTTGAAATCAGGCCTGTTGAGATATAACCTTCTCATGTCTTTTAATTTTATCAATGATGTTCTAAAAACCTGTAAAGAAGTACATTCAGAAGATCATTGCTTGCTATTCACCCTTGTTATTTTTACAGGATAATCTTTTGAATGGAGTAATATGCTTTTCCTCCTTGAGTCAATGACAATTAGACACAGGTTTACAGATATTTTGTGGTTAAATGGAAAAAAAGAAAGACAATTTTTTAAATAAAGAAACGGGTGATAAAATTGCATATAATTAAGGGCAATTTTTGTGTACATCAATATTGGGAAGTCTTAAATTAGAGTAGCTGAAGTAGAAACGTGGCATAAAGAGAGACTCTAACGAGAAAATCATTTTCTTTTGTTTTAGCCACAGAAATGGCCCTCACCTTCAAGACATTACTGGTGCAAAAATCACCAAAACTTATGTCATTTCTGTACTATATTGTCTAATCGTTCGACCAAGATAATTACAAATAGCATCTGCACCATATTTATTGTGGTCAATGAAAACTAAATAAATCATATTCATCTCGATTATTTAAAGCGAAAGCTTATTAACTTAAAATATAGATAAGTGAAAATAGAAAATAAATTCAATGTCGACTTATTTTTATATTTTTAATATCTGTAGAACTCTAATCGGTTACCAACAAACCCCTTCATGTAATACTAAATAATTTAAAAATTGAGCATATAAAAGTCATTGGATTTCATGTGTTATCCAATAGGTAGAAATGGATAGAAAAAATCCCTTTGAAAATGAGTACTATATGAGAGGCCCTATTTTTTTGCTGCCAAGGATATAATACTGTTAACTCCTCCTCTTCTCACTTCTTCCCCAATTTCTTTCAAATCCCAATCCTCACTCTTATCCTTCTCCGCCATGGCTTCAATTTCAGCAGCGGCTGCCACCGCCACTTCTTCTCCTAAGCTCCTAAACCCTTCTAATCCCCTTCTTCCTTCCGCTGCTAAACCATCTAAGCTTATCCTATCCTCTTCATTTACCCCCAACTTTTCTACCCTTCTCCTCCACTCACCCGCCGCTACTTCTCCCACTACCCACCACCAACGCCGCTTCACTGTCCGTGCTGCCCGTGGCAAATTCGAGAGGAAGAAACCCCATGTCAATATTGGCACTATTGGTCATGTTGACCATGGAAAGACTACCCTTACTGCTGCTTTAACCATGGCTCTTGCTTCTATGGGTAATTCCGCTCCCAAGAAGTATGATGAAATTGATGCCGCCCCAGAAGAGCGTGCTCGTGGGATTACTATTAATACGGCTACGGTTGAGTATGAGACTGAGAACCGACACTATGCCCACGTGGACTGCCCCGGTCACGCTGATTATGTCAAGAACATGATTACTGGTGCTGCCCAGATGGATGGAGCTATTCTTGTTGTTTCCGGTGCTGATGGCCCAATGCCACAGACCAAAGAACATATCTTGCTTGCTAAACAAGTGGGTGTTCCTAATATGGTGGTGTTTTTGAACAAACAAGATCAGGTTGATGATGAAGAGCTTCTTGAGCTTGTTGAGTTGGAGGTAAGAGAGCTTTTGTCTAGTTATGAGTTCCCTGGTGATGATATTCCTATTGTTTCTGGCTCTGCTCTTTTGGCTTTAGAGGCTTTAATGGCAAATCCTAGTATTAAGAGAGGTGAAAATGAATGGGTTGATAAGATTTTTACATTAATGGACAATGTTGATAGTTATATTCCTATTCCGCAAAGACAAACTGAGTTGCCTTTTTTGATGGCTATTGAAGATGTGTTTTCAATCACTGGTAGAGGTACAGTGGCAACAGGGAGAGTAGAGAGAGGGACTGTTAGGGTTGGAGAGACCGTTGATATTGTAGGATTAAGAGACACCAGGTCTACTACCGTGACCGGGGTTGAAATGTTTCAGAAGATTTTGGATGAAGCAATGGCTGGTGATAATGTGGGATTGTTGTTGAGAGGTATTCAGAAGATTGATATTCAGAGAGGAATGGTGTTGGCGAAACCGGGAACAATCACTCCTCACACCAAGTTTGAAGCTCTTGTGTATGTTCTGAAAAAGGAGGAGGGTGGCAGGCATTCCCCATTCTTTTCGGGGTATAGGCCTCAGTTTTACATGAGGACCACCGATGTAACTGGGAAGGTTACTTCCATTACCACTGACAAAGGGGATGAATCTAAGATGGTCATGCCTGGTGATCGTGTGAACTTGGTGGTTGAGCTCATTATGCCTGTCGCTTGTGAACAAGGGATGAGATTTGCCATCAGGGAAGGAGGAAAGACTGTTGGAGCTGGTGTCATTCAGAAAATTCTTGAGTGATCAACGAGCAGCAGCGCATTTCCATTCAAAATGGTCCGGTCCTTGTCATGCAATATTTTTAATCCCTTGTCATATATGCAACGTTTTGGTTACTTCTTTTCTTTTAGATCATAGGTTAGTTGGAGAAATCTTGTTATAAGTCAATGCTAGTGCACCTTTGCGAGTTTGCTTCAATTTTTGTTTGTTTGTTTGAAAAGAAGAACATTTTGTATCTTGTGTATGTTTAGTTTCCATCAGGAAAAATCATACTTTTGATTGAAACTCAACTTAAACATGCCAATGAAATTAGGTGCATTTGATATTTGTTTTGAAGAATTGATGCTGTCTGGTAACACCAAAAAAAAAAAGAAAACTGAGATATTTTATTTTTACAACATATTTTGCTTAGAACTTGTTTAGTGATGCTTAATTGTTATTATCAATTGTGGCTTATAATCCCCTAGTAGAAGTCTCTGTGAGTGATCAGTTGGTTCTATGTTGGAACTTGTCCCTTCTTGAATTTGGGCTGCTCGCGGACGCTAAAATTGTTTCTATGGCCTCCATGACTGGGACCTGCCTGATCTTGAGGCCTAGGCCTCCTAACATCACGTACACCTCTCCTCTTTCGGCTGTCCTCTACCTGCTGGACATGCATCATTAATCTAGAAAGATCCATATTATCATGGAGCATCGCAGCCCGACAATCTTCCTCCAGGTCTCCATTGATTCCTGTGAGGAATCTGCTCATCTCCTCCCTGCTGGTAGAAACTAAGGGAGTAGCATACCTGGATGATTTCAACAAAGTTAAGTACTCTCATCATTCTTGTTATCAAATACTAAGGGAAGTACATACCTTGATAACTTCACAAACTTCAGGGAATACTCCCTGACAGTCATGGATCCTTGCTTGAGGTTGATGAACTCCTCAACCTTGGCCTCTTTCATCTCTCTAGGGAAGAATCTTTCCAAAAATGCTGTCTTGAACAGCTCCCAGGTGACTGGCACCCCTCCTAGGACACGGCTATCTCGCCACATTTTGCACCAAGTCTGTGCAACATCTTTGAGCTGGTAGGAAGCCAACTCAGCCTTCTCAATATCAGTGGCCCCCATGGCCACCAGTATCTTATGCAACTCGTCTATAAATTCCTGGGGATCTTCTGAAGTCTTAGCCCCTGTGAAAATTGGAGGATTCATCCTCGTGAAGTCTCGCAGTCTATCAGCTATGCTGCGAGCCGGTGGGTTTTCCCTTAGAACATCCTGCCGGTTGACTTGGGCAGTCATAGCTTGGGCCTGCATCGTGATGGCCTGTGCCATCTGGGCTAGAGATGCCCTCACCTCCGCATCAGTCAACCCAGCTGGGTTCACTGGCATGGCCACTCCTTCAGCTGGAGCCTGGGGTGGATTCTGATTACCCCTAGCTGCTGCTGCTCCCGTCCTCAGACCCTTAGTTCCCCAGGTATTCATTCTCTGAAAACAGCAAGGTTGATGTTAGACACGTTCGTAACACCAAGAATTTAAACATTAGGAAGAGCACAATAAGATAAGAAGAAGGGAAGTCTTTCCTACGCATCATGCAGTCTCTAATCCAGGATAGTGGTGCACTTCACTACCATGACTTAGAAACTACTCAATGTGGTTGATGTGAACTCATTATTCGAGGAATTTAACCTAGCGCTCTGATACCAACTTTGTCACGACCGGAATCTAGACCCCAGACGAGACCGGCGTCGTTGACCTCTCAGAGGTCGCAGACAAGCCTGCTTACGTCATTCTTACTTTACATAGATTAATTTTAGCGTCCGCGAGCAGCCCAAATTCAAGAAGGGGCAACAGAGTGCTGGAAATTCTGACCCTCAGAGAAATACAACGCCTAGAGGAGGCAGACCCGAACCCAAGAGGGGCAATGGAGGTGAGATGCAGCGTCCAAGGAAGACTTGTACTAAGTGTGGCCGAATGCACCTTGGAGAATGTAGACAGGGCACTAATGCCTGTTTCGGTTGTGGTAAGAGTGGACACATGGTCATAGACTGTCCCCAGAACAGAGGTCAGGCTGGGGGTAATGCTCAGCCTAGGCCTACCCCACATAATGCAGCAGCAACCGAACCTCCGAAGAGGAACAGATTTTATGCCTTGAAAGGTAGGGAGGAGCAGGAGAAGTCCGCTGATGTGGTCACAGGTATGCTGCAAGTATTCTCAACTTCTGTTTATGCTTTACTTGATCCAGGGTCTACGCTTTCCTTTGTAACTCCTCTGCTTGCCCTTACCTTTGAAATACTACCTGAAGTTCTGCATGATCCTATAGTGGTTAGTACGCCATTAGGAGAAAATGTGAGAACCGAAAGGGTATACAAGAATTGCCCAATAGTTGTGAGTGGCAAGGCTATGTGTGCAAACTTGATTGAGTTACCCATGCATGATTTTGATATTATTCTTGGCATGGACTGGCTTCACAGCCATTATGCTTGCTTGGACTGTCGTAGTAGAGTGGTGAGGTTTCGTTTCCCTAATGAAGAAGAGTTAGTCTGGGAGGGGTACAATCCGATTCGTCCTAACCCCTTGATTTCAAATCTTAAGGCCAATAAAATGATGGCCAAAGGGTTATTATGTCATCTAGTGAGTGTTAATGATTTAGATCATGATGTTCCTTCCATAGACTCGGTGCCTGTAGTAAATGAATTCCTAGATGTGTTTCCTGAAGATTTGCCTGGAGTCCCTCCCCTTCGAGAGATTGACTTTGGTATCGACTTAGAACCTGATACTAAACCAATCTCAATTCCTCCTTATAGAATGGCTCCAGCAGAACTCAAGGAGTTGAAGCTGCAGTTAAAAGATCTCACGGATAAGGGTTTCATTCAGCCGAGCATATCCCCTTGGGGCGCTCCAGTGTTGTTTGTAAAGAAAAAGGATGGAACCCTTAGAATGTGTATCGATTATCGGCAGCTCAACAAAGTCACTATAAAGAATAAGTACCCACTTCCCAGAATTGATGATTTGTTCGATCAGCTCCAAGGGTCTAGTTTCTTCTCTAAGATTGATCTTCGTTCAGGGTATCATCAGCTTAGAGTTAGGGATAGGGATGTCCCAAAAACAGCTTTTCGTACCCGTTATGGTCATTATGAGTTCTTGGTTATGTCATTCGGTCTCACGAATGCACCTGCTGCATTTATGGACCTCATGAACAGAGTTTTCCGTGAATACCTTGACTCTTTCGTCATAGTATTCATTGATGACATTCTCATCTACTCTAAGACCAAGGAAGAGCATGAACAGCATTTGAGACTAACCTTGCAGGTACTTAGACAGCATCAGCTGTATGCCAAATTCAGCAAGTGTGAATTCTGGCTGAGATCAGTGACCTTCCTGGGCCATGTTGTGTCCGATCAAGGTGTAGAAGTGGACCCCAGAAAGACTGAAGCCGTTAAGAAGTGGCCAAAGCCTCTTACACCCACCGATATCCGTAGCTTTCTGGGATTGGCTGGTTACTACCGCAGGTTCGTGGAGGGATTTTCTTCCATTACTGCCCCACTTACAGCCTTGACAAAGAAGAAATCCAAGTATGAATGGACGGAGACTTGTGAGAAGAGTTTCCAGGAGCTCAAGGACAGACTCACTTCAGCCCCGGTGCTTACTCTGCCTAAGAGTGGCGAGAATTACACTGTCTATTGCGATGCATCTAGGGTCGGTTTGGGATGTGTTCTTATGCAGGCTGGTAAGGTGATAGCTTATGCTTCCAGACAGCTCAAGGTTCATGAAAAGAATTATCCCACTCATGACTTGGAGTTGGCAGCTGTGGTGTTTGCGTTGAAGTTATGGAGGCATTATCTATATGGAGTACACGTGGATGTGTTCACGGATCATAAGAGTCTCCAGTACGTGTTCACGCAGAGGGAGCTGAATCTACGGCAACGCAGATGGTTGGAGCTGTTGAAGGATTATGACATGAATGTGCACTATCATCCAGGTAAGGCTAATGTTGTGGCTGATGCTTTGAGCAGGATGAGCATGGGGAGTACAGCCCACGTTGAGGATGAGAAGAAGGAGCTAGTGAAAGAGGTACACAGACTGGCCAGGCTGGGTGTACGGTTGGTTGACTCTACTAGTGGAGGTGTATCAGTTCACCCTAGTTCTGAATCATCCCTGATAGTGGAAGTCAAGAAGGGTCAGCATCTCGATCCTGTGTTGATGGAGATGAAGGACTCAGTGTTGTTAAAAATGAATGAGTCTTTTGCTTTGGGAGATGATGGCATACTTAGATACCAGAACCGGTTGTGCGTACCAGATGTAGATGATTTACGGACCAAGATTGTTACAGAGGCCCATGGTTCCAGATATTCCATACATCCAGGTTCCACAAAAATGTATCATGATCTTAAGCAGATTTATTGGTGGGATGGCATGAAGAAGGATATTGCAGACTATGTGGCTAAGTGTCCTAATTGTCAGCAGGTTAAGGCAGAGCATCTTAAGCCTGGTGGTCTGACTCAGATTATTGAGGTTCCGACTTGGAAATGGGAGGCCATTAATATGGACTTCGTTGTTGGTCTTCCGAGGACTAGGAGGCAGCATGATTCTATATGGGTTATTGTGGACAGGCTGACTAAGTCTGCCCACTTTATCCCTGTGAAGTCCACTTACAGGGCCGAGGATTACGCGAGACTCTACATTGATGAGATTGTGAGATGGCATGGGATTCCTTTGTCTATTATTTCAGATAGAGGAGCTCAGTTTACTTCGCATTTTTGGAGATCTTTCCAGAAAAGCTTAGGCACGCAGGTGAAACTTAGCACTGCCTTTCATCCTCAGACAGATGGGCAGGCAGAGCGCACTATTCAGACATTGGAGGACATGTTGAGAGCGTGTGTGATTGACTTTAGAGGTAATTGGGATGACCATCTACCTTTGATAGAGTTCTCGTATAATAATAGCTACCACTCCAGCATTGGGATGGCACCATTTGAGGCATTGTATGGTAGGAGGTGTAGATCTCCAGTTGGGTGGTTCGAGGTTGGAGAGTCATCTATTTTGGGTCCAGAGATCATTCATGAGGCCTTGGAGAAAGTTAGAATGATTAGAGACAGGTTGGCTACCGCTTACAGCCGACAAAAGTCATATGCAGACAACAGAAAACGACCCTTAGAATTTAACGTTGGTGACCAGGTTTACTTGAAGATATCGCCTATGAAAGGGGTGATGCGATTTGGTAGAAAAGGGAAGCTTAGTCCGAGGTATGTGGGGCCATATGAGATCCTACAGCGCGTGGGTGAGGTGGCCTATGAGTTAGCATTGC